TTCAGCGGCCAAGGGCAGCGTGTGCTGGGCACCCCGGATGGCTTTGGCCAAGGATGGGTGCATGGACAGCCCTGCTGAGATGGGGATGTGGTTGTCTGTGGTGGCAGGAGTGATTTTTGGCAGGGTTTGTGGGCCAGGCAGTCTCGCCGGGTTGCCCAAAGAGGAAGGGCTGGTGAGGTTGTGACAGGGGAGCATGAGAGTGGGCGCAGAAGGAGCCTCTCCTGCAGCCATTCTTGGTGTTGAGACACTACGGGGATCGTGCGCAGGTTTGGGATCAGCCCTGTCCCTCGCTGGGTGCCCACAGGAATGGGCCAAAGCTGGGATGCCCACAGGGGGGGTTGGCTCTGGGGATGTGGCAGAGGAGATGGGGGAGCCATGTCCTGGGACAGCATCGCCCACCAGCCAGGGTGAAACATGAGAGGTCACCCGCTTATTTTGCCTGCAAAGGCTGAAAAAATGGGGGTCTCTGATGTTAGTGAAGGGAAATCACGTTGCTCTTCAGCTTGGTGGAGGGTGAGGAGGCCCTAGTTAGTCCAGGGGTAACTGGGCTGTGACCACGGCCACCTGAAGGGACGAGGGCAGCTCTGGCCCTGGCGTGGAGGGCATGAGAGGGGAAATGAAGGAGAGGAAATAGCCCGATTCCAGCTCCTGACCGATAACCTCCATCGATCAGTGTCTAACAGAAACACAATGGCTCTTTCCAACGGGAAACCGGCAGCTGCCTCCTCTTGCCTCACAAGATGCGAGATAAGGGCTGGTGGTATTTTTCTCCCATTGAGTTCCTCGTGGAGGAGCACAGTGGGGTGCAGGCAGCGCTGGGGAGGATGGCGGGGGCTCTGTTGCGCCGTGGGAGGTGATGCAAAACAAGCGGCACCACCGTGAAGCAATTTCCCGTCAGCGGGGCCTGTCCACGTCTGAACAAAACATCACGCTCTTGTCACGCTCGCTGTGGTGACACGGGGGGGGATTTGGCGTCCTCGGCTGAGAGGTGACGCTCTGCTCTTGTCCCTCGGGTGGTGGCAGGGTGATGCCAGCTTGATCCGGAGCCATGTCCAGGTACCTGAAGCACTTCACGGTGGTGGGGGATGACCCCGTGCAGTGGAGCAACAGCTATCGGAAATGGGAGGAGGAGGAGGTTGGAGAGAATGGGGAGAAGCAGCCGGATTCGGAGATCAAGCTGGAGCCCACCAGGAGCCGCATCCCCTTCCAGGGCATGATGAAGAAGCTCTTCAGCTCCCACAGGTTTCAGGTGAGGCAGAACAAACCCAGCCCAAAGGGAAGCAAGGGCGAGATTTGGCCAGAGCCAGTGCAGGGCACAGCGGTGGCTGGGGGCTGAGCTCCTGAGCACTCGTGGTGTCTGTGAGAGCGGCTGGTGGCTCCGCGCTGGGGTGTGGTGTCAGGGAAAATGTCTGTGTGAGCGGCTGCTGCCTCAGCGCTGGGCTGTGCTGTCAGGAACACGCGGCTCCGCAGCGGCGCAGATGTTTCCTGAGCGGCGACAAGCCTCGCTGCGCACTCGTCACGGCGCGGGTTGGGGGACGTGCTCTGCTCCGGCTCCCCGAGACCCCCACGCCAGGCGGTGGGAAACAGCTGGGTCTGGGGAGGGGGGGACAAGTGATTTCATAGGGGTGAGACTTTGCAGGAATACCCCAGCAAGGAGGGCTGTGGGAGTGGGGGTCCTGGGGGGGAGCAGCAGAAAGCTCTGGGAAATGCTGCCGGCCGATTTGGGGATGCAGGGTTGGGGGTTGTTTAGCTGAGGGCTGCATCGGTTCCTCTTGCTGATCCACCCACACGAGGAGAGGATTCACATCAGCTCTCCTCCTCCAACAGATTCTGGTTGTCTGCCTGGTCATCCTGGATGCCTTGTTGGTCCTTGGGGAGTTGCTGATGGACTTGAAAATCATCCACCCGGACAAATACAACATAACCCCAAAGGTAAAATGCAGGAAAGCGTCAACACGAGACATGATTTCCTTCTCTGTGGTGTTCAGAGCCCACTGGAGAGGACAACCAGGCAGGACCTGGACCTTCAGCGTTGCTGAGCCAGCTGCTGTGGGCACAAGGAGACAGAGACTTGTGACAGCCCCGCAGTGCACAGGGCCACCCTGGTTCGACTCACACCGCTCCATGCAGCAGCTTCGTGTTCCCATGGGCTGCGGCAGAGCCGACCGCTCTCGCCACCCTTGTCCTGGTCGTGTCCACACCTCCTGGTGCAGCTCACCCACAGTCACCAACCGCCAGCTGTGCTCGCTCTGCTTGTCCTTTAGAGCAGAAGGAAGGTCCCCAGCCCTCCTCCTTGTGGAGTCAGATGAGTTGTGCCCTCAAGAGAGGGAGGTTTTGAGCCTGCCCTGCTTGCGTTCCTGGCCCTAAACTTGTGCTGTCTTTTCCCAGGTTTTCCACTACCTCTCCCTTTCCATCTTAACCATCTTCCTGGTTGAGGTGGGGTTTAAAGTCTTCGTCTACCGCTGGGAGTTCTTCCACCACAAGTTCGAGGTGCTGGACGGGGTCGTTGTCATCGTGTCCTTCATCCTCGACATCGTCCTCATCTTCCGTGAGCACGAGTTCGAGGCTGTGGGGCTCCTGATCCTGCTGCGGCTGTGGCGCGTGGCCAGGATCATCAACGGTGGGTGTGCGCGGCAGGGCGGGAGGTTCCCCTTGTGCGTGGGCTGGGTTTGCCAGCTTTACCCAAATTATCTGGGGTTGCATCTTTGTTCCCTTCTCGATGCCACCTGTGAGATGCCAGGGTCTTGCTCTCCCAGCAGACTTGGTTTCACCCGTGTGGTTTTCGTTGCTGGAGCGTGGCCTTGATTCGGCTGTGATTTCTATGGAGTATTCGTGGTGGTGCAATGTGGGGTGATGGGGACACAGCAGTGAGTGGAGGTGTTCAGCTTTAGCACGGCAGCATCGGGCACGTTCCCCTAAAACCAACCTGTAATCTGTTCCTGCATCCCTCCCTCCTGAGGGGATGGCTCACGGCTTGAGTTTGTGTCGTAGGATCCTTTTGGCCCCACTTTAATAGGGAGTGGGGTGAAACGCTGCCTCCTTAAACCAGCTGCTGTAGCCGAGTAGGGTTTACTGCTCTGATGCTCTGCTGTGGCTCCCTCATCCCCTCCAGGGATGCTGCAGGGAAACATCCTGATCTCATGCTGGGTCTCCCTTGCTTGGATTCAAAGGGCTCAGTGTAAAAAGAGGAATATAAAGTATCCCCAAATCAGACTTCACCGACTCTGCTGCTGGAATTGTGAATTGTTGCAAAGTGGTGTAAACTCAGACACTTCAGAAACAACTGGAAACAGTCTTCCTTCTCTGGGGAAGGATTTTGGGGTTCATAAAATGTGGCAATGGGATTATCCCTAATTCCTGCATGAACCCTCAGCCTGGGTGCTGTCTGTGCCTACGAGGGCACTTTTGGGGAGTGCTCAGTAGGTCTGGTTAGTTGGGGTAAAAGGAGAGGATGGCTGGGGCTGAGTCTGTCACCTCCAGCCCCCACTGCCCCTTTGACGAGGAGGACGTGCCTGACCGGTGGCACTGGCCAGGAAAAGGGAAGATGCAAGAGCAGCTTGTGGCTCTTCTGAGTTCAGAGTGAAGGTCACAGAAACCAGACTCGTGTGCAGCTGTGTGAGCCACAGGGACCTCGGTGTCTCTGAACACGCAGTTGTACAGCAGAACAAGTGAATTAATTTCCTTATCCTTGGGTGCTCCTGGCTTTGTCCCCAAGCCTCTCACTGTGCCCACCCGCTTGGAGCAACAGTGGACAAAGAAAATCTGCCCTGAGCTTTGGGTGTTGTGTCCAAGCCCGGGCACGGTTCGCTGCCTTCAGTCGCTGTGGATGGAGAGGGCCCGGGTCTCAGGCAGGTGGGGACTGTTTGATGTTATCAATGCAAATCAGTGGTGGCGCTGCTTTGGCTTCAGAGAAAATGCTGTTCTGGCAGCAGCCAGAGAGCTCTGCCGGGCGAGAAGAACGTGATGTTCTTCATGCTCCTACCAAGCTATCTGATTATTTTTTTTCTCCCCTGCTTGGAAAGGGGTAGGAAGAAAATGCCTCCGCTGGGGGGGCTGAGTTCACATGTAATAACCCAATGATGTTTCAGTAGAGAATTGACACCTCTGCTGTCATGAGAAGCTGCGTGCCCTCTCTGCAGCTGCACAGGGTGAAGCCCAAACCTCAGGGACCAGAGAGGGTGTGCCATGGTGCCATGTCCCGTTCCACCCGGCCAGAGCAATCAGCCTCGGGGCTGGATAAGCCTCGTGCCCCAGGCTGTTGGAGCAAGGCTCCCAGCTTCATGAAGTGGCTAAAACACAGCCCCTGGTGACAACAAAGCTGCTGGTCACATCCCCAGGCTCTGCCAAGGGAGCGAATTCAAACTCGGGATTTGAATGACAGTCAAACTGATTAATTCAGCTCGGAGGCCAGACTGCCTCTTCCCAGCAGAGTACGGGTATCTGAATCCCTGGGGTGGTTAATTTAAAACCCTGCTCATTAAGAAAAGCACTTGGGAAGGGTAGTTTGAAGATGAGAGAACCAGAGCTGGAGAGGAACACGTTTAACTCCTTGAGTACAGACCCTGTGTACTGTGAACCGCCTGCTCGTGGCTGTCCTACGTTGTAAAACGAATCTGCTGTGAATTGTTTCACAGGAATAATTTTATCGGTGAAGACCCGCTCTGAACAACAAGTGTCCAAGCTGAAGCAAGCGAACCTGAAACTCGCAACAAAGGTTGAACAACTGGAACAAAGCTGTGTAGAGAAGGTAAAAAACCACTTTTAATTTAAAGGAAGTTTCCCCGCTGGCCGCTCCCTTGGACGGGCTGGCCTGCGCTCCTTCTGCAAGGTTGCCACTGTCAGCTTGGTTTCCTCATCCAAAAGTTGTGGGGTGTGCTGGGCTGAGGAACCACAGCCTCAGCTGTCCTGTCCCTGCTTCCCTCGGCTGCTCCTCTTGCAAAAGGAAGACGGCCGCCTCTGTCCTACTTACCTCAGCCAGGTCGTCCTGCTTTACTGCAGGGATACGCCTTGAAATAGTTCCCCGGGTTCCCACAGATCTTCCCACTGCTGAAATGCAAGAGCTAGATTCATGGTTTGACTTTTGTCTCCAACAGGAGCAAGAAATCGAGAGGCTTAACAACATATTGAAACAGCACGGACTCATCAGCGAGCAAAAATAAGAGGCCAGTGTTGAAATCTGCCAGTTTGACCTGAAAGGTTTTTCTGTCTCTGCTTTCTCTTGTATAGTGTTGTCTATAAACACTTTCTATTTGACCACGCTTTGATTACATCTTGGGATTGCAAAAACAATTTTGCTGGAAAATTAATCGTGCGTACTCCCCGTAAACAGCGATTTCGCAAGACGTTTCTTGTACAGTTGTACAGTCAAAACTGCAAAATAATTTAATAAAGACACATCTTTACAAGCTGTACATCCACAAGGGTACCACGTAGTTTACATACTTGCATTTTCCTGTGATAGTGCCCTTTATTTGCAACGTCTTGTAGAAAGGTGCAGTTTCTACGATAAGAATCGAGGCTGAAAAGGTCGTTTCTCTACAGGCTGACCGTTCATCATCAATACATCTCTTCTTTGCCAACCATTCTTCTCATATTGTTGGTAGTTTCCTCACTTCTGTTGCTGCTTGTGCCACTTTGTTATTTATACAGCGTTCATTTCAGAAATACCAACACACCACTCCTTTAGTTGACAACCAGATCAGCACCAGAAATAGAGGCGAACATGTGCCGCCTTACGTCAAACAATGCCTTGTTCTCAGCAGCAGATCCGAGTCCTGATACTGCGTTATCTCATCTCCTCTTCCATTTTAAGTGTTCGTTTGTGGCCTGCTGGGCTGCAAAGCCTTTTCTGCTTCCACAGCTCATAAATCAACGCATTAAAAGAATTAGAATATGTAAGAACAGATGTAGGTGAGTGGAATGCTGGGAACAGCAAGACTCCAGAAAAGCCATCAGAAAGCATATTCTGAAGGACCAGGCCGGTGTTTGAACACAACGTGAACTTTTTCAGGTACTAGAAGGTCCCTGTGGTGAGACTACTTTACAGTTGAAGAGTAAGATTCAATAAGTGGGAATTTTGAGAAGCGTGGACTGTAGCAGGCGTCTCCAATTGATTTCAGCTGGAAGGGTCATTGAGCTTTTCTAAAAGCATCACTTAACTGTTCGGATTCTTAAAGAAAGGTAATTATTTAGTGGTTTGGGAAGAATAGCCAGAAATACATGGCTTATTCATCTATGAAAACAGATAAAGCAGAGGCTTATCTAATAGCACATGATTACTTTAATTAACAATTTAGCTCTGCTGCTCACAGAATAATGAAGCCTACTTTCCTTTGGAGCCGTACCGTGTCCCTGCACTCTTCCCTTCCCCTCCTGCCTCTGCAGAGCTGGGCTGGCAGCTCGGATGAGCGCTGCTTCCAAGCGTCCGCTGTGCTGGGCAGCTGGGGGCCGCACATGTGCTGACCAATGGCTGCAGCCACTGTCATGTTCACACCACAGCCTTCTCTCCTCTTGGTAGAGGTATAATTGGGAACTTTCCACTTAACGTCGGGGCTTTTTCTCCCCTAAAAGCTGCTGAGAACCCTCAGAAGAGCTCGCCCTTTCCTTCCTGGCCAAGTTTAACTCGGTGCGTATACAGTTTAGAGGAAACTGATGGCACATCACAGTGACTGGATAAACCTTGCTTCTTTGGGAAACAAACTAAAATCATGCATACTTACCTTAGACAAATGGAAAGAAAAAATCATAAGGTAACTTGACGTTAATGGTGGGCCAAGCTTTATAGCCTGGCTCTGCAGGTGAAGAAATATCAGTGAAAGCAACAGAACTGATTATAGGAATAGTCCTTTCCCTTCCTGAGGGAAGCTGCAATGAAAATACAAATGGTCGTTAGCTTCAGTCTTCTCTTTGTACAACTGCTCTGTTTGGGCTGGGTTGTATTTTCAGCTGTTATTTTTAATAAGCTTGCTTGGTTTTTTTCTCATAAACAGTTCCACACTTCCTTTGTTTAATGATGTATAGATTTTTATTGAAGTGCGTTTTGGCAAGCAGCCCACAGTTGTGTTGGAGTTGGAACAGAACCCGTTGGGTGCAATATGTTCTAATATGAAGTGTTACCTTAGATAGAGATTAACTGAGTCACTGTTACACAGCTGATACCCAAGCGAAACAAGCCATTCTTTTTATCTTAAATCCTGCCATTTAATTACATACCTGCTTCAAAGTGGTGGTAGTGATTGTTGCTGTAACGTTGACTATTCTGGCTTGTGGATTGACCAGGGATCCGTATTTAGTCCACTTCACTTCTATTTCAAGTGCTACTGGTATTTGGCATGAGCTCTGAAAAGTGTTATAAATTCTCTCATTGTCTGACTTGTACAGAAGCAATCACATTAATTATTCATCTTATTGAAGTGGCAGAATGCCCCCCCGAAAGCTGGCTCCAGGAGGTTACCAGAGCCGTGCCTGGGCCCTGGAGTGCTGCCCGTGCAGGTGCCTGCAGCCTTGGTGTGGGGGTGTCCCTGCAGTTTCTCCACAGGTGACAAACCGACTGTGCTGCACCTCAGGCAGGACTGGGCTTTGGCTTTTAGTGACAGTGTTAAGCTGGCTCTTTTTAGCTGGGACAGTAGAAAATCCTTAATTCTGCCAAGACAGGATTTTGAAGTCTACAATCTTAAATATTTTTAGTTGTGGGTTGTTGTTTTTTTTTTCTCGTTTTGAACTGTCAAGTTTCTGTTTACAGAAATAATTCACTGTTTAGCTGCAAAAGCATGCACAAACCTATTTACAAGCTGTCATTGGGAAGGGTGCTGTCAGTCAGCACGCACCAAGCAGCACTGCTGCTACTTAACAGAAGGTATACTGCTCAGGTATACTGTTTCTGTGCTTTAAAGGGTTCTTGCTATCTTACTGTAACCTGGCATAAGAGCACCAAGGAGAAACAGGGACAGATCTCAGGAGAGAGGACAGTGAGAGCGAAGGGGGTGGTGGTAGTGGTGTGACTTTCACCTGTTCTGCGATGCGGAGGTGAGTTATCGGCACCCAGTCAAGCACATTGTGGGCTTGAGAATTTCCAAACGAGGCCACGTATTCGGGAAAGCTTTGTCCCTTCAGTAGATCTAGGAGGGTCTGAGTCAAAAGCTGGCATTTCATAGCTGCAGTAATTCTTCGGGGGGGGGGGGGGGGGAGAAGAAAAAAAGATTAGTTAAAGCAAAATCCATTGGTTTGGCACAGTAATGATTTCTCCTTGCTCTCATGCACTGTTCAAGCCTTCTGGCTACAGCTGCTAATGTACACAATGTTTTCAAGAGAGACACCATTGTTAATTAAATGACATTTCTCATAATTAAATACTCCATTCCCATTACTCCTACAGCTGTATGAATGTCCCAGGATCTGAACAGGTCCTAATGGAAAGGGTCACCAGGGGGTTAAAAGCACTAAATAAAAAGGGAATGTCCTCTTACCGTAACTTACAGCCTGATATCATGTTATAACCAAATAATATTGGCGTTCTGGCTCCCTGTGCTGCCAGGCAGTCCTGGTTGGATGTACTCTGCAGAATGGTAAGTTGACCGTATTTGTTAGTATTCTGAATGATGCCAGATGTAACGCACAGTTAAAGGGAAATTCAGTTCTTGATGTATATAATGAAGAAAGAATCCTTAATCATATTCTTAAAATACATCTGAGAATGCTGTAATAGCTCAAGACTCTACTTACACTGTATGAAGCACTAGAGAGCACAATGAAGGTCTAAATCTACCTCACTAAGAGTCCCAGGAGACTGCAGTCAGGACTGAGTCATTTGCTACTTCTAAAACATAGCCAAAAAAGCACACTTTTACTTTTGTTAAAGAACAGATACTTTTTACAGATGTCCATGCTAGAAAGTGTTTGTAAAGATGGACCAGAACAAGGACTGCAAACAATATTTCAACAGGGAAAGGATATCCTTGTGGCCGGAAGCCCGCTCTTATAGGCAGTCCAACAACATAACCAGGATTACCACTGAGAGGAACCGGCTTTGTATCCACCTGCAATGCAAACGTGTACAGTGTTAGTTCTCCTGCTGCACTGAAATGGCCTGGAAAACACAGAACTATTTCACTTTTTTAGGATTATCAACTGTCTTGAGCAATGATAGTAGTAAGATGGCTCTGTAAAACTGTAACAGTTCTCTTAACAAAGCCTAAGCTGGCTTTGCTTTCATTGGATATAGTTGTACAGAGTCACAAGATTACTCTTCCAAATGTGAAAAAGAGACTTTGGAGGCCTTTATTGCCCAGTTCTGAAATGCTGCCTCAGTTGTGTAGCCAGGGTAAGTTAAATTTTACCTTACTGCTAACAATTGTTCTGATTCAAGTTTAATAAGTTTTGTAATTAAATGTCTTTCAGCAAGTCATCCATAACATCTCTGGCAGTTACCTGAGTAAAGCTGATTTCGAAGTGCTGCTGTATTGAAAGTGCTGCTTGGTTAATTGCCCCCAGGACAAAAGAAGCAGCTGCTTCTATTATCTCTCCTGCGTCTGTGTACGTAATGTGATAACTCACCTGAAAATTAAACATTTTAGATATTAGCTAGCACAAATACATACGAGTATGAAACTAGGGAAAAAAGGGGAGTTTAACACTATGTAAGTATTATTTTCTTTCTTCCTTGCTTAAGAGACACTCTACTACCTGGTAGAGACATACTAGGTGCTCTAGAGGCTGGCGCCTCTTCAAAACTGACTTATTGATAAACCTTTTCTAAACTTAAACCAATGTTCATCTATTTAAGACAAAAAGATGAGATGATTTGTGCTGTGTATTCCTCTGTCTCTGCCACCACTGTGCCTGAAGTCATCTTCTCCCAAGCATAATGTAGATTCTAAACTCATGTTATTATTTGTTATGTCACGTGGACAGTAATAATAGAAAAGGATTTCATCCTGTCTCCATGTTTTGTTGCATATAGTTATTATCTTGTTGCAAAACAAGCTCTTTTATCCCAAAGTCAGTGTTTCTCCTGTCACATTTGCTTTGGAGATGTCACAATACATGGAAAACTGCGCAAGGGCCTTTCTCACATCTTTGTAATTTGTGAATCAGAAATTATTTGATGCATACGTGCTTTCCATCAAACATGAGGAGGCAAAGAGCTGTCATACCTACCCCAAGAACTATATTTATGCACAGTTCATCCAAAATCATAGGGAGCCTGAGGACATCACCACCATTAAGTAAAGACCGCATTCCATTCAGAGACTGGACAGCTATGGACTGGACAGTAATATTCACCTGAAAAACAAATTCATGTCATATCTGAATATTGTGTATAATTATTTTTGACTTTATTACATTTGTAATATTACATTTGTGACCCTTCGGCGTTCTGTTCCACGGAGACAGCAGTCAGTGATCCTCTGAACAACTACTATGTTCCATGTATTGCTGAAGTTCAACAAAAGGTTCTATTTTTAAGTAACTACAGAGAGTTACATAAAAAGAAAGAATTTTATATGAGGGGAATGCATCAGGCTTAAATGTTTGCAGGTAGCATATTATCTTGGAGTTGCTAAGTATCGTTACTGACAGCACATGATAGAAATTTTTTAATTTCAAGATTAAGGATAAAGTCCTTGTTCTGATGAAGTCAGTGAAAAACTGACTATAATTGAGTAAGAATTTTGTCCCCAGCTGCTCCAGCTAAATTAGAAGGATACTTACCATCTGACTTGATTTGGGCACCTGGAGGAGAATAAAAGAACAAAGTCAAATGACAGTAATGGTATGACCTATTGTAAGCAGGAGGTAAGTAAAGCAGTTAAGGCTTAACTGCTTTGCCTGTTTAACTCTCTATCATTACAATAACTTTTACATGGTGGAAGCGATTTGCTATATGCTACAGTATAGAAATAGGCAATATAGAAGTAACTGCTTTTCTTTGAGACCAGTAGGCAAAATCTTACAGTCCAAGCCTCTTCTTCTCCGGACAGTCACCAGAAAATTTCTTCATGACTTCTACCAGGCCTTGCTGTGACTACATTCCCAATAAATCCACAGTGCATTCAGTAGTAGATGAATCTAGTGCTGACCATCCTGAGGGACAGCTCAGCCATCGGAATAAGCTGTATGAATAAAAATGCTTGTAAAGATTAGACTTGTCCTTCAAGGGTGCATGCTCTTTCTGACTTGGGTAGAAGACATGATCTCAGCTGCTAAAACTTGATTTATCTGTGACTGGAGTGCTGGATGATGTTTCTGTGGGTCACTGGCAGGCAGGACTCCAGCCTCACTGCTGCCTCCCAGTGACTCACCTTTCCTCCAGCCAGGGAGGCAAGCGGGGACAGGCACAGAATCACAGAATCACAGAACGTTAGGGATTGGAAGGGACCTCCAAAGCTCATCCAGTCCAATCCCCCTGCCGGAGCAGGAACACCCAGATGAGGTTACACAGGAAGGCGTCCAGGCGGGTTTTGAATGTCTGCAGAGAAGGAGACTCCACAACCTCTCTGGGCAGCCTGGTCCAGTGCTCTGTCACCCTCACTGAGAAGTTTCTTCTCAAATTGAAGTGGAACCTCCTGTGTTCCAGTTTGTGTCCATTACCCCTTGTCCTATCAGTCTTTGTCACCGAGAAGAGCCAGGCTAAACACCTCGTGACACTCACCCTTTAAATATTTATAAACATGAATGAGGTCTCCCCTCGGTCTCCTCTTCTGCAAACTAAAGAGCCCCAGCTCCCTCAGCTGCTCCTCATAAGGGAGATGCTCCACTCCCTTAATCATCTTTGTAGCCCTAGGCAGCAGTGCATTGCTTTGGCAGCTGCACAGTCCATGCTAACCATGGTATGAAGCATCGCAAGGTTATGAGCATCTTGGTAGAGGGTTCCAAGCATCCCCAATGCCCCTTGGGTCTGCTGGACAGGCCAGGGTGGACAGCAGAGATTAACCGCAATGCTTACCAAGACCTTCTCGTCACTGAAGCTGCCCAGCCCGGCAGTAAGCATGGATGGGCTCATAATGATGGGGTTTTGGAGAAGCTGCTGTATCGGTCCCCTCCCCGGGGGCTCCCAGCAAGCCTCCCTGGGTTGGTGCCGTTTGCCATTTCTTTTGCCGGCAGCTCCACCTGCTGGCACTGGAAGGGCTCCTTGCTCTGCCCTGTCAGCACTCTGATCCCAAGACCAAGTTACTCTTTGATTGTCACATCCCATCTTCAGCACCCTTTGGGTAGGGGAGCTTCCTACAGACCATCTCTAGCATCTCTTCAGCCTTCTCCAGTTCTTGCATCTGATTCTTCTTGAATGTCCAATGACAGAAATCTGACCTCTCCTAAGCTGGGTCGTTGTAATTAGCAAGCAGCGTGTGGGTAACATGTTACATACTGTTCTGGTGAGGAAGTGGAATTCATTTTAATTCAAAAACGTTCAGCTGCTTGGAGCCTGTCCTGAGGCATGCTTTTTCTTTTCTGGTTCAG